CCTACCAACCACCGCCTCCTTCGTTCACCACCGGATTCTCCCCGTCCACCACCACCGAATTCTCCCCATTCTCCACCACTGGATTCTCCCCGCTCAAATCGATTCTGCAGGCCTCCCACATCCGCCATGCATGCACGCCATCACCCGATCACAACGGCTTGCGAGCGAGCGAACGCATGCAAAACACGGCGATGGATCAGCGGCGACGCAGGAGGAGGGCAGTCGTTGGGTCTCAGGGAGCGCGTATGTGGGCTAGAGCGGACGTAGGGCAGGTTGGGACGCTATACTAGGTGAGCCGCCGTCGCTCTCGCCCTTCTACAGCATACCGGGCGTGCGCTCGCGTCCCTCACCACCACGGCGTGCAAACACGCCGTGTCGTTCGTTCGCCGCTACCACATTCCCCGCACCCAACGAGACGACTCCATCGCGTACGGCTGGCCACGCTATCATCGCCGTCAATGCAGCATCATGAACGCGCGCACGTCTGCAAGACACCGCCACCGAGATGGGCAAGAGCGGACGTAGGGCGGTAGGAACGGGTTTTCAGGTGAGTCGCCGTCGCTCTCGCTCGCGTCCTTCATCAACACGGCGTGTTTGCACGCCGTGTCCTTCGTTCGCCATTACCACATTCCCCGCACCGAACGAGACAGCTCCACCGCGTACGGCCACGGTATCATCGCCGTCAATGTAGCGTCACGAACGCGCGCACGTCTACAAGGCCCTCCCACCGTCTCCAGCGGCGCCGCAGCAGGAGGGCGAGGCGGGGATCTCATGGAGCGCGTAGGTGGGCGAGAGCGGACGTAGGGCGGGTAGGAACGCTTCATCAGGTGAGTTTCCATCCGGCTGTATCGAGCATCGCACCACGGCGCATGCACTCACTGTTTCAGCGTCCTCCCTGCCTCTCGTTCGACCGCCCCAGTGCTCTGCGACCTCGAAGCCCTCGCAAGAACGCACGCGATGCATCGTGCCCATGCCTCGCGGATCACCCATTTCTTCTTGCCTTACACAACGACCAGCCACCCGCTCGCGCGTTCTTCACCACTACAGCACACGAACCGGCCGCGTTCTCTGTTCGCCACCACTGCCTTCCCCGCGTCCTACGCGATGAGCTAATCGCGCAGGCCTACCCTATCCGCCGCCTATGCCGTCACCCGATCATCACGGCTCCTGAGCACACAGACGCACGCAAGAGATGGCGACCCGGCGATGGCGACTCCACAGGAGGACGACGGGTTGTCAGGAGAATCTGGGACGGGTGCCCCAGGTGAGTCGCAATCGCCCTATATCGCGTGTCGCCCAAGGGCGCATGCACTCTCTTCAGCTCACCGCGCATGGTACCCCGCCATCAGGATTCATCCACGACAGGCGAACGCGCAAACGGACGGCTTGCGCAGCTCACCCCGCCTCACGCTCCGCCGGTCACCCGTCTCCTCTCGCACTACGGCCACCCTCCCCCCCCTAGCCACGCCCTCCGCGGTCCCCCCATCTTCCCAGACGTCTCCCCGCTCTACCCCCCGCCGCCGCTCAACTGAGGCAGCCCGATCGTGCCCGACTTTAGCAACGCATGGGACATCGCATATGCAAAGGCAGAGGCGTTCGTCGCGGGGCTCACGCTCGAGCAGAAGGTCAATGTCAGCATGGGCGTGTATCGGGAGCAGGGTTTGTGTGTTGGGAATATCGGGCAGGTAAGCAGTTAGCCTGGGCAGTGTCTTCAGGTGCGCGCGCTCCAGGCTTGTCGCTCGCTCTCGTCTCACAGCCGTCTTTGTGTCCCGCGCTGCCCACGTCGCCCGCCACTTCTCCGCTGTTCCCCTTGACCTGCCTCTCGACGACACCGGTCCCGTGCGCCCCTACGTGTGTCTCGCCATTCGTCCATGCTAGCAAGCTGTCCCTGGATCGCGTCCGACCGTTCACGCACACCCGGAGGTTGGCAGGCCAGCCGTCAGCTGTCCCTGCCTTGGCTACGATATCGGGGGATCCCTCGGGAATGCACGCGCCCGTGCCCGGCACTGAACTGCAGCTGGGAGGATGCATATTGGGTGACAGGCAGCGGACGCTTCGAGTCGTTCTTGGTGAGTCGCCTCCGTTCATGTCTTCATGTTCGCTAACCGTCTCGTTCTTATTTGCTCGCCTCTGCTCGCAGCTCGACGCTACCTGCTCCGAGCGCCATTCCACCCGTCGCTCTGTGTGCCTGTTATCTCTGGACAGGTCGCTCGGGAATGCATGCGGCTGCAAACGGCGATAGACTATGGCTGGAGGGAAGCATGTTGACGTTGGTTGAGCAGAGATCCATTCGCGTCATTCTCGGTGAGCCACATCTGTTCTCGCCTTCACGTTCGCTGATTGCAGCATTCTTCTCGCTCGCTTTCACTTGCACCTCAACGCTACCTCGCGCGCCATCCTGCGCATCGCTCTATTTCCCTGCCCTCCTGAACGTCGCCGTCCACCCTCATATCCTCTCTTGCTGGAAACCCCGTGTGCACGATGTACGAGATAACGAGCTCCTTTGACTCGATTTCGCCACACAGTCGCCCGGAGTCGCTTGCCATCACGCCTGCCATCACGCCTGCCATGGTGTCTCGACTGCCAGGCAACCGCGTCTTTGCCCCGTCCCGCATCTTTGTCTCGTTCGTGTCGGGAGCGCGCGCAGCCACATACATCGCTGGATCATAGCTGGAGGGTTTCATGTTGGGTGAGGAAAGATCTCTTCGGGTCACTTGCAGTGAGTCACATGCATTTCTGCCGCCTTGTTCACTGATTATCTTCTCGTGATGGCCCGCCTCCGCTTGTGTTCCGACGCTACTGATCTCGCACGCTGTCCCACCGGTTGCTCTTGCACTCGCTCCCGTCGAATGTCACCGACCGCCTCTCGGATATCGCCGCTCGTCACGTATTACTTAGGTTACTAGATAAGTCCTTTTTCAGTGCATTGTGTGGTGCCCCACCCACGCATATACTTACCACCTGCTCATCCTCTCTCTCGCCTTGCATGGCGCCCCGCCATCCGGAGTCATCCATGACACGCGAATGCACGAACGGATAGCTTGCGCACCCAATCGCGGACCTCTCTGATGCCCTTCGTGAGGTAGACTCCCTTCACCACGTGTTCTACAAAACCAAATGATGTGCGCAAAAAGCAGAGCGAGTCGTCGCCAGTCTTGCCCAGTCCTCATCCTTGCCAGCTGCAGCACGATCCGGTGGCGATTCTCTATCACTCTCAACGGCTCCCCCGTGAACATTCAGGTGCAATCACTCCTCAAGTGTGCCGTCAAGACCATCCTCGAATACGTGGTGCGTGCTGAGCGTGCAGAGGCTGCTCGCGACGAGGCCGACGTATCATCCAGGAAGCATGGGGCACGCTCAATCGCTCCCTCAGCACCGTCGAGGTCTGCTCCTCTGACGCACGCATGAACTTTTTGCGCCTCGTCGAGGACGGTGGCAGCCAGCTCGTCCTCGTGCAGCCTCCCCTTCCACCTTCGCAGTCTCTTCCGATCATCGCATCGTCTGCGCTCAAGCCCGCTCCCAGTCGTACCGCATCCCTCCACCAGGCGAACATACCCAGGGCCGCGGTTTTTCTGACGCTCCCTCCACCTGTGCCCAACCCCATCAGTCGCATCAGGCCACGCTCGGGTAGTATGGATGCAGTGGTATATCCTGGTCTTCCTGGTGGACCGGGCGTGCTGCCTCCTGCAAAGAGGATGTGCAGCAAGCGTGACCTTGAGCGTGAAATGATTGACAGACCGCGCTGGTACAGTGCTACAGTAGGTTCATCCTTAGATCTAGTTGTGCCTTATGCTTGCTTACTCGTCGTCAGCCATCCAATTCACCACAGTTTATGACAGCCAATGATCATGCTACAGAGACCACCCTCATTCCCCTTCAGCACTCGGGCAACATGAGCGTGCCCGCTCTTCATCCATACTATGATCCGCAACAGCGTGCATATCATGCCAATTAACGCAGAACAATCTTATAAAGAGCTGGATAAGGCATACTACTTACCATGTATGGAATCAACATATTATGAGAATAATGAAAATGACCGATAGGGCTCACTTCCCGATCGGGGAGCGAAGACAACCGACATGTCTGTATATTGCGATCAAAATGAGCGTTCAACATGTATGGCTTTCGCTATCATGCTGTATAGCTAGACTGCATATCTGTGACATTGAATGCATGCAAGAAAAATAAATACAGCTCGTGGAACAGCTCAGAGTGCGGCAACCATTGTTAATCTGTAACTATCTATATACCGGGAGCCGTTAGCCCCTAACGGCCATGCTCAGAGGGCCCTCCATAGCACATTCAATTCTTGTGCTATGCTCTTCAAAATACCCTCATCTGAAAGCCAGACTTCGAATCTCGGAGGCCTCAAAGGGGCCCCAATGCCGAGTTGAGCGGAACGGGCGCTGTGGGCTTCCCAATCGGGCGGGTTTCCTCACGATGGTGGTTTGGTCAATGTTGGTCTTTTTAAGATCCTCAGTTACTTCTATCACCTCGATTTTGTTGGGGCCCCCTCGCTCTACATCTCAAGCACCCTGCTCATTAAATTCTCATTATTTCGCAATTTATTTGTGTTTCTACGGGATGCCCTTTCAACTCAGTCGGTAAGCGCCCGTTATGGTCCTGGTGACTTTTTGCTTTTTTCTCTCGTGCATCGCAATCCGCTCGCTTGTCGATGCTGGGGCCCCCTAGCAATACATCTAAATGACTCAACTGCAAAATTTCGAGTCCATCGGTACTGTTTTCAAGGCTCCACGACGTGCCCTTTCCCCTCATGTGCACAGCGCGTCTGACTCCCCGATCGGTGAGTGTGCTCGCGTCATCCCCTTGCCTTCGTCTCTCGTTTTTCCTCTCTTCCTCTCATATCCATCCGCTCCTTTACCTCTGTAACCTTAGGCGACGAACTCCAACAACCGCTGCACAGCTCGTCTAGGCGACTAGTCTCCTTCTTCCGCGCTCTCCTGATCTTCCAGCGGCGTGTCTTAGTCCCTCATGGAATCGGAGGTGTGAGCGGTGAAAGAGGTTGGTAAGAGGTAGTTGGAGGCCATAGGTTCCTAATCCAGGTGAGTGCTGCGTTAAAAATCACCATGCTAACGGCTTTCTTCCTCTTTATCAGTCTTCACAAGAGAACGCACCGAGTTGTACTCAGTGTCGGTCCCCAGCAGCGCAACCCTCCATCCGCATACCCCTTCCAGAGCCACGCAGGCATTCCCGATTCCGTTCCTCACAGGACCATGGACAGGCGAAAATCACTAGAGAGCCTATGCACTGAGTTGTACTCGGTGTTGGTCCCCAGCAGCGCAACCCTCCATCCGCATACCCCTTCCAGAGCCACGCAGGCATTCCCGAT